AGCACAGGAGGGACAAAAAAGCAGAAGTCACGCCTAATTCCATGTCTGCTAAAGACACATCTTTTTTGGGGTAACTTTTGGGTTGGGGTTCCAGGAATGAAATCAGGAAAAAGCCTCTCATGCAGCAGGCTCACTGCATCTGGGTTGGGGGTTTAGGCCACAGCACCTTCTGGATACCAAAGGGCCATGATGATCTCTTCCTGGAATTTTAGGAAGCATCCTCTTCTTAAAGTTGCTTTGTAAAGTACAAAAGCATTGTACAGAGACATTTGAAATAAATATGCAGACACTTTTTTGTACCAGTGTCTTGCTTTATGGGAAACAAAGTATGGCTTCATCATCTGGTCATTGAAGTCCACCCCTCCCATGTTAAGGTTATAGTCGTGGACACAGGAGGGCTTCTCAACAACACCAGCTGCTGTGGAAATTTGGATGGTTGTGTCTGCGTGAATGGAAGACAAGACAAAAACATCCCATTTGTCCTTCCACTTCACTGTGAACAATTCATAGTTTTTCAAGCATGCTTTCTCCACCTTTCTAAGATGGGTAACCCCAGCGATTAGGTCACACGGTGCCACGTGCGCCAATTCCAAGATTGTGTACACATGTCTAAATAGTAGCACATTGGTATAAAAATTGTCCTTGTATAAGTGGTACCCAATATGGAAAAAGGGTGACACCAAGTCCCAAACTATCTTGCCACTGCTTCCTATGTAGTCTTGGCATCCGGGGGCTCCACGTGACTATCTTTTCCCTCGTAAATCCAAAAACTACATGTATAGCCTGTTGCCCTGACACAGGGCTTATGCATTTTGACCATATATCTGGCACGCTTGCTGGGAGAAATTGTTTGAATGCCAGGTGGCCAGAAAAATTAATCAGGGACTCATCAACGCAGATGTTTTTTTGGGGAGTATACACATCTGCAAATTTCCGGTTAAAGTGATTTAAAAGGGGACAAATTTTGTGGAGCCAGTCAAATTCAGGGTCAGCCCGAGGACAACAGAGTGTATTGTCACTTAAATGCATAAATCACATTATATTCTCATATCTATGCCTGTCCATGGCAGCAGAGAACAAGGGCATATGATTAATCGGGTCTGTGGACCAATACAACTGCAATTCATTTTTTTTAGAAATGTCCATGTTCAGAATTAGGCCCCAAAAAAACTCTACATTAGGAAACCGTAATAGGTTTCCATGCAAATTGTCTGGCAAGGTTTGAATTTGGGTTGGTGACTATAAATTGTTGTGCGTATAAATTACTTTGATCTACAATCAATCCATACAGATCTTCCGTGAAAAACAGCTCCAAAAAGAGTAGTTGAATTTACCGTTTCCACCTGAATTCCGAGTTGGGCAGTGAACAGGAGAAGTACGGGTGCTGCAGAATTTGTAGGCTGCCAATCAGGATTTGAAAGCACATCCGGAAGGACACTATGGGCTCTACAGCTCTGTGTTCAGATTATTGGTGGCTGCAGGACACTACTTGTGCTCGCCACCGCAGCAGCTTGTACTGCACTTAAGGGACTCGCCACGTCAGCAATTGATAGTGCTGGTATGAAAAAGACCAAAATGTACTAGGCAGCTGGTGCTCACCAGTTCACTAAAAGGTAGAGCGGCACTAGTACTGGCACTCTGCTGCATATGAGAATCATCATGTAATTGTAACACTTCAGCAACCTGGGAATGGGGTCGGGTACACCTGACCTTAGCAGGGACCTCTACTCCATCGTCTGAGCTATCTGTCAGGGTACCACTGCTCTCTACAGGTTCATATTCTGAGCCTGATTCTGTCAGCGAGGCTTCCCCTTTGCTCTCATCTGACATGGTCAGAATCCTGTAGGCCTCTTCACTAGAGTACCTTTCATTGGACATTTTGGCCACTAAATTTATAGGTACCTAGTGTGACTCATGGGAAAAAGAGTACCTGGCTGTCAGGGACTGCTTGAACCGCTACAAAAAATGTACCTGCTAGTGCTAGCAGAGATCAGGCCTGATCTTGCTAACCCTCCAGTTTTGTGTGCAATGTATCAAGTGACAGTAATCTACTAACACTGAACTTGCTGGGGGAGACGGGGGGTTACCCGTAGGGTCTAAACACAGGTGCTGGCAGGTGGCGGGGCTGATCCTACTAAAGCTGCATTTTTGGGGACACTAGTATAGTGCTGATGTGATCAAAGATATTGATCCGTTCAGACACTATACTAGCAATGGAGGTTTATTGTGTATGTGAGCATGTTCCTGGCAATCAAAAGGTTAAATTTGATGACTGATGTAGTGGCGGGCAATCTGACGCTATGTGGGATGGACACTAACTGATGCTAACTGATGCTAACATTATCTGAAGTTGCCTGTGAGATTAATACAGTGATCAGTAAACAAAATCTGTACACTGTACTGACACTGGTGAGAGAGAAGTGAAGGGGTTAACTGGGGGGAGGGGGCGATCAGGGGGTTAAATGTGACCTATCAGTGCTTTTACTGTAAACGTGTAGTGCTTTGACTCACGTGGATCTGCTTTCTTCTCTCTCTGGAACGGAATGTGCTCCAGGAAGAGAAGATTGCATTATTTCCTGTGCCTGTGTAATGTAAACACAGGCACAGGAAGATCTATGATAGGACAGTGATCACTCAGCAGATCCAGGCTGAACATCACTGGGCTGAATCTGCTGACTGATCAGTGCTGCACCAAATCGGGCGGATCATCGGGCGCGCACTCCCTACCCGTGAACACATCGGGAGCACGGATCACATTTATATATGTGATCTTGAGCAGGGAGTCTGCCCTGTAGCAGTAAACTTGCTATAGGGTGGCGTTTAACTGGTTAAAGCATTCTCTGCATTAAGGCAAAATATCTTTTAAGTGAAGTTCCCCTTGCAGCCACCCCAAATACTCACCTGAGCCCAAATCTTGCACCAGTGCTGTGCACATATGCACAGCTCCTCCTCCCTCTCGGCCAGACTGTGTGTCTAAATAAAAGCAAACAGCCCAGCTCAGGAGCAAACCTGCACGAGTGCCCACCATAGGTAATGGAGGGAGGAGCCAGGAGTGCTGGCGAGGGACCCCTAGAAGAGGAGGATTGAGATTGCTCTGTGCAAAACCCTTGCATGGAGCAAGTAAGTATGATATATTTAAAACTACATCCCCCAGAGGAAGCTACGAGTCCCTGTAGCGTAACGCGTCCGCAGTCAGAACGGCGAGTATTGACAGTGTGCGTAAGCACATTAACGAGGCTGATTCCACAGCCACCCGCGGCTGTATATATAACAAAAGTGCATATATTACTAACATGTGAGTGTACTACTAGCCTTTATTAAAACATTTTACCCCGGATAAAACACTATGCACCTTTTTTTCTTTCCCTTATGATCCATGGGAGGAGAACTTGGTTCAGGAGAGTGCTGGGGAAGGAGTAACTTCATCCATTGCAGTGACTCACAGTGCTGCTTCTATTGCTAACCATTGCAGCTATACAGCACAGGATATAAAGGAGAGTATACGGCATTCATCTTTCTGCTGAATCTAAAAGGAATTTGATATCATCCAAGTGCATATGGGATTATTCATTCATAAATCAAAAATTATAGTTGGACTTTTATTTTTTGCAATTCACGTTATTATTATTTTATTATTTTTATTCAAAAATTTTTTTGTGTTTTATATAATTATTGGACGCCTGCGACACATTGGTTATATGTACACAGATTGTTTATATATATATACAGATATTTGCACCCTTCAGTGGCTCACAAGTAAAACTTCACACTAAGTATGATATATTTGTTATTTTTAATGAAAAAAAGAAGCTTTACAATCCCACTTTAAAGCCCACTTTATCTTATTGGTGTGTAGGTGAGTGATGAGTCAATTCGGGATGGGTAACTGCTGGGGGGCAGCAGAAGAACCTATCTATTCAGTGGCTCTTTAGGGAGTAGAGCTACATTTACATTGTTATATTACTTGTTTTAGGGCTATTGTGGTATACTAAATTATAGGCTTTTTGTAAATCCTAGAGGATTGGTTTGTGCTCCATCAAATCAGAGTAGTAGGATCATTAGTGCACTCCTGATTATTGCTAAAACAGGCAAATACTCATAAACTTCAGTAAGTTAGTATCAGAGAAGGTTCAAGCACTTAAAGCTACCTATTTTTTTTTTTTTTTTTGGAGATTGATATTTCATGTTTTTAATTTTTTTATTTTTTTCACTTGGCTATTTGCATTTTTTTATGCACATACATCTCTATGTATATTGCTACTTTATACATTTAATTCCCTTTAACTTCTCTATTTTCATCTCTTGTTTGAGCAACCCCAGTTAATCATGTACAAATTAAGTTTTTTAGGCATGCATATATTTTTCTATTTAAATCACTTTGGTCTGAGGTTTTTTTTGGCAGTAACGTGAGTAACCCAAACCAACCTTTTAAGAGGCAAATGAATTTTATAGAAAGTCATAATAAATTTCAAAATGCTGTTTCCCCCCTTTTCTTTTTACGTATGTGTCTTTTCCATCACCTAATAACTGTCTTCAAATAGAGTCAGAACACATTTACATGAAGGCTTTCTGTGAAAGTTTTGTCTATGTTTAAGTTCACTGCAGTTCCATGTCTGTCTCTATTAATCCGCTAAAAGAGATTGGGGAAGGGGGGTTATTCAGTTTACTGTAGCCTGGGCTTTACTCCATACACAGAAGAGCAAGCTTGGCCTTTTTATTGTTTTAATGTCCACTTGACAAAAGTTAGAACTAACAGTGGAATGTGTCCATGTTTGTAAAAAAGGACCTCTGTCAAGTTATCATCTCATAGACTTCGAAGCAACACTATCTACATATATTCTTGGGTAACAGAAGACAATTAACTGTGAAACCAATCTCTGGACAAAATGAGTGACAGTTTTCTCCTTTGTCTGTACAATAAGCAGTTAGGCTTAGGTTTATGCAGCTGCATGAGGTCACCCCAAGCAGAACTCAGCGGCTGTGATATTTTGTAACATCACTCTTGTGATGTTAGAACACAGGTGGGTCCCAATCAGGGGCGGACTGACTATTCGAGCACTCAGGCACTGCCCGAGGGCCTGGGGTCATTAGGGGGCCCCATGAAATGCTCCTGGTACCTTTTATAGGCTTTTATTGGTGTACTTTGAGTGTGGGCAAGGACACAGGGGCCCCATGATCCCCTATTGCCCGGGGTCCCCATGAGTTGTCAGTCCACCCCTGGTCCCAACATCTGATTGTGGAATGCAGGACAAGGTATAACAATATGTCAAGTGGTAGAAAATTCCAAGATAACAGTTTTATCAAATATATATAAAATATGCTTAAAAAGATAATAGAACAATAATATGTCATGCAAAATACATAATTTCTTTTTTTTTTTTTTTTTTACAAAAAGTTAAAGCGCAAGATCAGTGTGAAATAACTCCCTCACCAAATGCAACCTCTTCTGCTCTTCACCCTCCTCTGCCCAAAATTGTCCGATAATGGCTGCATATGGGGTCATATGCTTAAGCCTGGTACACATGTCTGTCAGTTTACTTTTCGTTCAGTGGGGTGAATAGAAAAAAACTGAAGATCTCAAGAGGAGATCGCTGTACTAACAATGGCATTTTAGTACAGTGATCTCCCTGCTGAGCTATTATGTTCTGATAGCCCTTACCCCGCACCAGAACACTCACAGCCATTCACTATGAGCGCTGATCAGATGCTGATCGGCTGCTGGTTTTCCACCAAGCTCGTTCGACAGAAGCCAGCTGAGATATCGGCTTCTGTCACACAAGAATCTGTACACATGGGCTGAAAGTTGTCCAGTAACAACAATAACAGCTGATTTCAGCTGATATTCGTCCCGTGTGTAGGGGGCTTAAGTGTCCTTAGTGTTGGAGTATGTCCCCATTAAATCTATTGGTGCCTACTATGCAGGTGTGATCACCGCCTAAGAAGAATTCAAATGGAAGAAGATAAATCCTGTTGAGGCTGCTTGACTGCTCACAAGAAGTGCGTGTGTGTGTGTCAGTGGGGGGATGCTGTCAACACTTCTGCTTACTATATTTTGCACATTGCTTATAAAAAGTAAAGATTAAATGTAGTATAAAGAAAAAAAACACTTAGCCCTTCCTCCTTTGCCCTCCTAAATTCAACTTCAGGATAAGCAAATATTATCTAAATACAGGCGGCATGTATATTCTTACCTAAACCTTGGTGTGCTTTGTCTATTTCTTCCAGATCTGTGCAGTAATCCAGTGTGAAACTTTACCTCTGTGCAGGAGTTTCCTTTAATACAGACCAGTCACTACTGCTTTCTCTTCTTGTGCAGGGTTAGTGGTCTTGTATTTGCCCATCCTGTAGTTTTCTGCATGCAGCCTATAGTAGGTTGGTCTGTTAGGTTCCTCTCACATTTCTGCTTTCTGTACAGGCTATGAGCACCACAGTGATAACTGAGTTTTCAAAGGCATTTGGTGCACAATGTGGATCTATACCCTTTGTGCTAGTGAGGAATATAAATAAAAATTTGGTGCAGTACAACTTTAAAAACAAAATAAGACCCTATTGCAGACCCAAAATAAACACTTATCTAGAACTGACAGTCACAACCTACTGGGAGCCATAGCTTTGTGCTTTGGGATTTATTTTTCACAGGTCTGTGTAAGCCTGTTTGTCTCCCACAAGATATAATAGGTATGTCTCTAGCAGGGGTAGACTGACAACTCATGGGGCCCCCGGGCAATAGGGGATCATGGGGCCCCTGTGTCCTTGCCCAAACTCAAAAAAGCCTATGAAAAAGGTACCAGGGGCATCTCATGGGGCCCCCTACTGACCCTGGGCCCTCGGGCAGTGCCCGAGTTTCCAAATGGTCAGTCCACCCCTGGTCTCTAGAGTATATCAGGAGACAGACCCATTGTTTCTTGTGGGAGATAACTGAACACATGTAGGCAGTGGGGATGAAATCTCAAAACTCAGGATGTAAACATAGCCAAAGCTCCTGGTAGGCCATGGCAATCAACATCAGGTAAGCTTTTTCTAGAACCCAGATAATGGTCAGGGCATATTTGTCGATTCTCACTATTAAAATGGTGTAAGCTTCCTCCCCTCAGAAAAGAACATGATCTTTGACAGTTAAAGTAAGAAATTTACTGATTTACCAATTTTTAAATGGGCTATATAATTCCATTTGTATATGTCTGATCTCCAGGTAGCTCTCATCCAGCTAAATATACAAATATGATCCTTTAATTGTATAGTTCATAGCAGGCAGGGTAAATATACATGCATGTATGCTGCATATAGGAGAATCAAATATTTGCCATTTGCCAATTCACCTGGTTTCCAATTATTTCCACATTACTATTGATCAGTGAAGTAAAGAAATTCTAACAAGGTTGAAAATCTGTATTGATGAGCGCTTTCAGTGCTTAAAAATGGATATTGTGGCTCTCTTGCTACCACCACCAGAAAGCCTGCACTCAGCATTCAAATATGTAGCTCCAAATGCATTAATAGGGTTGTAATATTTTTTTTTTTTCACGTGTAGCCATCAGATCACTAGGTTCTGACTGAATCAAATTGCCAGATGACATAACATAGAAAAGTGACAAATTTAAAAAATGAAAAGGAATTTCTGAACCACACTAAAAGTGTCATTTATCATACAAATGTGCAAAGAATGCACATTCTGAATCAAATTACCCCTGGAAGGAGAGGAGGAAGTCACATTGAAATTGTAGGTCAATATTTTTCAGGGACAAGGAAAAAGGAAGCTCTTATACCGAGAAACAATTCTTTATAGCCTTCTGGCACAACTGAATGTATTGTAATGATCTTCACACCTTTACATTAGAAACACCAAAAGGCAAGTGTATTCAAGACACTATTTTTAATTTAGTGGTTTTGTTTTGTTTAGAATAATAGCAAATACATGGTATGCCTGTTTTCCAACTGGGGAGATTTATTCCTCTATTATTCGTAGTGGCCAATGTCCCCGAGATGGCAAGTGGGTGGAAATCCAACATTTTTCAGCAAAATCCTCCAACTGGGACACTTTTCTAAAATGTGATTTTTGTTCACTTTGGAGAGATTTTCTCCCATTTCCTGTTGTATCTCCAGGTCAGAAAGTAAAGAGGAAATCCTTTCAACAAGATATTGACAGCATCAAATGACCTGATAAGGGTTTACCCTTCCCTACTCTACTCCAAAAACTAAAAAAAAATGTTTTGGCTGTACATACACCTTAGGCTTGTTGCGTATTAAGCAGATTGAGTTTCTGACTTGGGATTGAAAATGTTACCAGGTACAGTACTTACTATGTTTAATTTTCTTTTCATCTACCACAAAAAGCACCCAGAAAACCACAAAAAGAAAGGGCAATATCATAAATGCAAAAGATAAAAAATATGACATCCATTAAAAAAAAATTACAATCTTTAAAAAAAAGAAAGAAATCCTGAGAACAATTCCAATATAAACAGCACCAGGATTGTCGGAAAATCCCTATGTATTTTATGTTCCTTGGGATTGTGATACGTTTGGCTTCTGTTCCCGTAGAGGCAATTTTCCTGTATTTTTGAAATGATGTCAGTCCTAATATTTATAATTTTTGTATTCATTCCAAGCCAATAGAGATTTATCAATTGCTTAGAATACTATGTTTGGATAATCTTGACATTTAAATTGCTTATGGCAATATCCAATAAAAGTACAGCCGTGATATAAAACTGAAAATGAACTGCAATTGAAGCTGGAAAAAATAATCTTTGTTAATTTTATTTTATATAAAGGTTGATATTAAAATCAGCGGTTTGCATTAGGAAGCCAGTTCTATACAAGCTTAGCATTTGTTTTTCAGTATGTAAACAAGGAATTAAGCCTTCAAGGAAGGTACAAGACATGTGATTAACCCACCCAGAATGCTTTGTAAACATACAGAGATTCCACATATGGGATCACTCAGTTATTAAAAGCAAGTCTAGTGTGCAGAGCCTCAATCACCGCAGACATCTTCTCCAACTCTGCACAATGCAAAAGCCAGTGAAAGACAAACACAAACGGTGCCCATTTGATGTTTAAACCTACAACAGATGTACAGTATGAAACTACAATATGTTATTCTGTGCCATGGAGACTGAATTATCAGGTAAGGGCTAGGACCCAATTAGAAGAAGTGGCTTGTGCATCAGTCTTATGTTCTATAGATGATGCACAAAATGTGAACAGGTCTTCCATTGGTTGGGCATGCTACATATATTACTATATCCGTGTGTTTTAGCGGATGGATAGAAATAGCTAGAAAGAAAGAAAGAAAGAAAGAAAGAAAGAAAGAAAGAAAGTTGCATAGATACCAGCAGTTTAAAAACATTCATTCTTTGTCATAGTCATAGGCATTTTTAGACTTGGGCACTGGGGGGACGAGCCCTGGGTCCATCAAGACCCAACCAAGAAAGTCATCCAAATTGTCAGAATGACTTTCCCTTTTGTTTGCAGGACTTTCCAGACATAGGGATATATTTTACAGGTAAGAATTAATTGATCCCACTGATCACCAATAAAAAGGGAAGTCCAAGACCACCAACAGGAGCACAAATGCCACATACCAATAGTTTTATGGGGGGCGGGTATCACTTAGCACCAATGAAAAGGTAGGGCAATGAACACCAATGGGGACACACTATCCACCAATGTTATATGGGCAAAAACACCATTGACCATCAATATTATGGGGAGAAATCACCCCTGACCATCCAATAAGAAGAATACATTTTGGTGTGGTTTGGACAATGCCACCATCCCTAACTTTAATAGAAATTGGAAAGAACCCCTCTGAATGTGGGACTTTTAAAGGCACAAGTTGTATACACATGTATATAAACCAATGAGAATCTTTTTTATACAAAATACAATAAAATCATATATTAAAAAGTCAGCAGTTGTAAATTTTACAGCAAACACAATTTCTCATTAAAACTTTATACAAGTAGAAGGGCAGGACGCGTTTCAAAACAAAAATTCTCTTCTTCAGAGGTGGCTGTCATATAAACATATTTATAGGTACATTACTTATACAATCTGGTAAAGAGATGGTTGAAATCAAATAAATTTCTACATTATGTCTGATACTGATTCTACTATGAGATAATTGATGCAAGCACTACTGCCATATTAAAATATCAAGGTGTTAACTGTCGCCATCTCAATGAAAGCCCCCCAGTACTGCAAGAATGCACACTGCAATTGAACACTCACTGGGGTGACCAGAAAAACGGGGACTCATATAACGAGACTTGGTTCATTCCAGGCCTTATTCTAGCTCCATCATCCTAGCTGGCCACTTCCTGTGCCAGCGGTCGGACAGCACGTGAGATGTGACTACGCCGTGCATCCTCAGGCCGGGTGTCGGTATCAGGGGCAGATGGTTACTGATAGGCTGATGACATTGTGGTCCCAGCCTTTGACATCTAATTGGTAGATTTTCAATCCCTTGCTGCCTTTATAAAGAGCAACTGAGCACTCAGGCTTTGCAGCTATGCCAAAATCAGGCTAACTGAATATCCAAGTAGATCAGGTATCTATCCACTTTGTTTGCTTAATTGGGCACAAAAGCTTTCATGATAAACTATCCCTTTTGATGTCTGCAACACTTGTTTGCTTGCAGCAATTGTCTCATAGAAGGGTCAGTATCATACATAATGTAGAAATGTATTTGATTTCAACCTTCTTTTTACCAGATTGTATAAGCAATGTACCTATAAATATGTTTAAATCACAGCCATCTCTGAAGGAGAGAATTTGTCTTGAAACGTGTCAGGAGTTCTGTCCTTCTACTTGTATAAAGTTTTAATGAGAAATTGTGTTTGCTGTAAAATTTACAACCACTGACTACTTAATATGTGATTTTATTGTATTTTGTATAATAAAGATTCTCGTTGTTTTATATACACGTGTATACAACTTGTGCCTTTAAAAGTCTCATGTCCAATAACAAGAGGGTGAGAACACCAATGACCACCAATGTTATGGAGGCAAAACACCTCTAACCAACAATATTGTGAGGGCAAAAATGCTGCTAAGCACCAATGTCATAAAGGGAAAAACACCACTGAGCAACAATATTATGGGGCAAAAACACTACTGACCAAGAACAGTTAGTGAAGAGTTGCATACACATCACTGACTTCCAACATTTATTATAGCAGTCACCTATAACCACTAACATTTTAAGGGAAGTTCACAATTAATAATTAGCATCAGGGGGGACTTACTCCTAACCACTGCACTCTGCAAGTAGAGCTGTTCATTACATGACCCCCACAAGTGCAATTTGACTGCTGCACTGTAATCACTATGTTGTACATTAAATAGGACTGACTATGTAGCTCTGTATGCTACATAGTCCTGACCCCTGAAATGTATACTGTATGCTGCCGAGTCCTGACAACTGAGCTGTATATATTGAGACATGGTGCGTTGATGTTTCTTGGAAGCTATGTAAAGTTCCACCCATATCACTAGGTCTGAAATATATATGATGAGAGGTTTTATTTCACAATTTCATTTTCATGTTAATGAGGTGGGGGGAGGACCAAGGCAGGGCAAAAAATATAACTGTTATTCATTCTGCTTCTTTCTTTTGGCATGAGCTTCAATTAGTTCCCTCCTCACTGGCCTGCCTCGCTGGTGGCTATCCCCGCTTCAGTCGATCCTGAATACGGCTGACAGCCTCATTCACCTTTCCAACCGCTCCGTTTCCGCCACCCCCCTCTGCCAATCCCTCCACTGGCTTCTGATTGCGCAACGGATCAAATTCAAAATCATAACACTGACGTACAAAGCTGTCCACCATACTGCCCCGAACTACATCACTGACCTAATATCCAAGTACCGCCCAGCATGCACACTCCGCTCCTCACAAGACCTCCTTCTCTCTAGTTCCCTGGTCTCCTCCTCCTATGCCCGCCTCCAGGACTTCTCCAGAGTGTCACCCATCCTCTGGAACTCCCTGCCCCAACCCATCAGATTATCACCTACTCTCCTCTCCTTTAGGCGCACCCTGAAAACCCATCTCTTCAGGGAAGCCTACCCCAATGTCAGGGCTCCCAGGTATGACCAGAGGTGTGTGACTGAAGCAGGGAAACGCAGACCTCAGATATGTTATAAACAATATAATTTATTAACACTAACAGTACAAACATAAACGCAGTGCAATACTAAAACATAATACGGTGCAAACAAACCAAACCAAACCACCCACAGATAACAGTATATACAAGCAAGCGTCGTCAGGCAGGCCGGGTCAATATCAATTGGGCAGGTAGGTACAGGGAGAGCAAGCGGAGAATGGTCGGGGTCACAGGCCAGGTTCAGCAGGTAGCAAGCAGCATAGTACAGAGGGTCAGGCAGAGGGATGGTCCGGGTCACAAGCCAGGGATCAGAACAGGTAGCAAGCAGCGTAGTACAGAGGGTCAGACAGAGGGATGGTCAGGGTCACAAGCCAGGATCAGAGCAGGAGAAGTCAGCAAAGGAACAGAAACAGGATGCAGGACAGATACAGGGCCCAGGACAAACACAACACCAAGGCAGAGTCTGCAAGTCTGGCCATCCCTTAAATACACCAGTATCATCAGTTCCAGGTGTTAGCTGGCTGAAAGGTTGAGTCTCTGATTGCTGGGAGCACCCGCTGGCCAGCCCTGGTACTGCAGATCAAAAGGCAGGTGAGTCCCACCATTGCTGGCCAGTCCATTCCTAACAGTACCCCCCCCTCAAGGAGCGGCCTCAGGACGCTCCAAACAGTCCTAGCTGGGCAAAATGTTCCACCGCCCGGGTCTGGCAACTGGCGGGATATCAAAGACTGGCACACCGGGCAGGACTCCGGGCAGCGGCACACCGGGCTGGACTCCGGGCAGAGGCACATCGAGCAGAGGCACACCGGGCAGAGGCACATCGGGCAGGACTCCGGGCAGAGGCACATCGGGCAGAGGCACATCGGGCAGGACTCCGGGCAGAGGCACATCGGGCAGGACTCCGGGCAGAGGCACACCGGGCAGAGGCACATCAGGCAGGACTCCGGGCAGAGGCACATCGGGCAGGACTCCGGGCAGAGGCACATCGGGCAGGACTCCGGGCAGAGGCACATCGGATTACCAGGCGAAGCAGCAGGCAGCGGGCCACCAGGCGGAGCAGCAGGCACCGGGCCCCGGGCGGGGCGGCAGGCACCGGGCCCCCGGGCGGGGCGACAGGCACCGGGCCCCCGGGCGGGGCGGCAGGCACCGGGCCCCCCGGGCGGGGCGGCAGGCACCGGGCCCCCGGGCGGGGCGGCAGGCACCGGGCCCCCGGGCGGGGCGGCAGGCACCGGGCCCCCAGGCGGGGCGACAGGCACCGGGCCCCCAGGCAGGGCGACAGGCACCGGGCCCCCAGGCGGGGCGACAGGCACCGGGCCCCCAGGCGGGGCGACAGGTCTCGGGCCCTCAGGCGGAGCGGCGGGCGCCGGACCCCCAGGAGGAGCGACAGGTCTCGGGCCCTCAAGCGGAGTGGCAGGTGCCGGACCCCCAGGCGGAGCGACAGGCGCTGGACCCCCAAGCGGAGCAACAGGTCTCTCGGGCCCCCAGGCGGAGCGGCGGGCACCGAGACACCAGGCACGACAGTGGGCTCCGAGTCAACTGGTATGACCGCAGGCACTGGGGGGTCAGACATTGGATGGTCTGGCTGGACAGCGGGCATCGGGTCACCAGGCATCAGGTCATTTGGCTCGACAGCGGGCACCGCGTCATCTGGCAAGGCAGTGGGCTCCGAGTCAACTGGTATGACCGCGGGCACTGGGTCAGACATTGGATCGTCTGACCGGACAGCGGGCATCGGGTCACCAGGCATCAAGTCATTTGGCTCGACAGCGAGCACCGCGTCATCTGGCAAGGCAGTGGGCTCCGAGTCAACTGGCATGACCGCGGGCACCGGGGCAGACATTGAAATCGTCTGGCTGGACAGCGGGCATCGGGTCACCAGGCATCAGGTCATTTGGCTCGACCGCGGGCACCGCGTCATCTGGCAAGGCAGTGGGCTCCGAGTCAACTGGTATGACCGCGGGCACTGGGTCAGACATTGGATCCTCTGACTGGACAGCAGGCATCGGGTCACCAGGCATCAGGTCATTTGGCTCGACAGCGGGCACCGCGTCATCTGGCAAGGCAGTGGTCTCCGAGTCAACAGGCACGACAGTGGGCACCGGGTCATCAGGTACCGGATTGTCTGGCTCGACAGCGGGCATCGGGTCATCAGGTATGACAGCGGACACTAGGTCACCAGGCATCAGGTCATTTGGCTTGCCAGCGGGCACCGCGTCATCTGGCAAGGCAGTGGGCACCGAGTCACCAGGTACGACAGCGGGCTCTGAGTCAATTGGCACGACAGCGGGCACCGGATCAGGTACCGGATCATCTGGATCAACAGCGGGCATCGAGTCAACTGGCCTAATAGGATCATCAGGCTGGATCAGTTCATCATGCTGGGTAGTGGCATTAGGCCGAGTAGAGGCTTCAGGCCGAGTAGAGGCATCAGGCCGAGTAGAGGCATCAGGCCGAGTAGAGGCTTCAGGCTGAAGAGAGGCATCAGGCCGAGTACAGGCATCAGGCCGAGTACAGGCATCAGGCCGAGTAGAGGCTTCAGGCCGCGTAGAGGCTTCAGGCTGAGGAGAGGCTTCAGGCCGCGTAGAGGCTTCAGGCCGAGTACAGGCATCAGCCGAGTACAGGCATCAGGCCGAGTAGAGGCTTCAGGCCGAGTAGAGGCTTCAGGCTGAGGAGAGGCTTCAGGCCGCGTAGAGGCTTCAGGCCGCGTAGAGGATTCAGGCCGCGTAGAGGCTTCAGGCCGAGTAGAGGCATCAGGCTGCGTACAGGCATCAGTCTGAACCACGGAAGGCAGGCTCACCGGTTTGGATACTGGCAGGATGGTATTGGTTGGAAAGAATTTTCGCTTTTTTCTGGTTTTAACTACTGGAGCACTGCAAGTAAACGCAGGTCTGCAAACGAATGGAGCAGCTGGAGACAGAGAAGAACTGGAGGATGGAACAGGAGAGGGAGCAGTTGCTACAGAGGGCTTTTTTTACAGGGTTAAAGGCAGGATAGGTGCAGCGAGTGGGAACAGGGTACTGACATGCGGTAGATAGCCAAGTATACTGGGCTGTAACTGGAGGAGCTGGTGGGAATACAGGAGGGAGTTAGAGTAGAGTTAGAAGCAGGACTGGGTCTTTGTAAGCTGACTGAGGCTGGGTGCAACAAATCTGTCCATGTCTGCAGTAGGGGTTGAACAAAGCTGAGCTTACACAAAGTCTGTCTGGTCAATGACTGCACTGCGTTTATACAATCTCTCAGTGTCTGTGGTGAACATGTGGAATAACGCTCCAGAAAGTAACCCACATCATCCTCTAATAACCACACCAGGGACTCTACCTGGTCTGCACTAAATGGTGGCAAAAATTCATCCCTGCATTCGGGGGAACCAGATGAAACCAACTCTGCACAAACCTCAATCAATGGCTGCACCTCAGAGAACACTGTGCCCTGATCTACTAGAACATGAGCGAGCCGTATACATTCTAGCAATTCATCCCGGGTATACTCCTTCAGAGTTTGATAAGCATACTCCCTGTCATCAAACACTAGCAGATATAAATACTCAACCTCCTCAAGATCCATCCTTCCCATCAACAAGCCAAGATGGCTTCCCTGTGCAGCCACTTCTGGTCAGGATTGGCCTTGGTGTAATGTCAGGGCTCCCAGGTATGACCAGAGGTGTGTGACTGAAGCAGGGAAACGCAGACCTCAGATATGTTATAAACAATATAATTTTATTAACACTAACAGTACAACAAACATAAACGCAGTGCAATACTAAAACATAATACGGTGCAAACAAACCAAACCAAACCACCCACAGATAACAGTATGTACAAGCAAGCGTCGTCAGGCAGGCCGGGTCAATATCAATTGGGCAGGTAGGTACAGGGGGAGCAAGCGGAGAATGGTCGGGGTCACAGGCCAGGTTCAGCAGGTAGCAAGCAGCATAGTACAGAGGGTCAGGCAGAGGGATGGTCCGGGTCACAAAGCCAGGGATCAGAACAGGTAGCAAGCAGCGTAGTACAGAGGGTCAGACAGAGGGATGGTCAGGGTCACAAGCCAGGATCAGAGCAGGAGAAGTCAGCAAAGGAACAGAAACAGGATGCAGGACAGATACAGGGCCCAGGACAAACACAACACCAAGGCAGAGTCTGCAAGTCTGGCCATCCCTTAAATACACCAGTATCATCAGTTCCAGGTGTTAGCTGGCTGAAAGGTTGAGTCTCTGATTGCTGGGAGCACCCGCTGGCCAGCCCTGGTACTGCAGATCAAAAGGCAGGTGAGTCCCACCATTGCTGGCCAGTCCATTCCTAACACCCACCCCCTGCTAACTTGCCGACCACCTCCACTCTTCCTACCACTCCATCCCCCACAGCTATCTCCTCCTGTGCCACCATCCCCTCCCTCCTAGATTGTCCCCTCATGTTTTGCATTGTTTTGCATTGTATTGGTATTGTTCTGTCACATGTTCTGTCCCCCTTTGTAATGTACAGCGCTGAGCGAACTATTGGCGCTTTATAAATACTGTATAATAATAATAATTAGTTACCATAGCTTAACACAGCAGATGTACAAGCTGTCAGAAAGTCCTAACAAACAAACCATTATTGTAAGTATCTATCATGTTTATGTTCAGTTTCTGTCTTTGTATTATTGAAGAGCCATGGGGAAATCCTACATGTATTAAACATAATTTGTGACAGGCATAGTTTCTGCAATTCATGGTAGTATCTGTAACAATTGTGTGCATAGGGACATGGAACCTGTACGCGACAGCTATTTTTGTTTTTCATAAGCAATGAACCCCCCCCCCCCCTCCTCTTGAAAACTGTGAAATTTGTAGCTGTACGTTTTAACGAACTTCAAACGAGACTCTTATCTTAACTAAAACACAAATAGATTATTAGTCTTGGCAGGATGTCTGTTTCCATGAACCATGAAAAACACTTCCCACTGACCTAATGTAAAACAATAATAACTCATTCGAGCCATCACACATGACATGTAAGGCCGGAAAGACTCCAGGAATGCAGAGTGTGCCATAAAACATCCATTACACAATGTAACAATTCCAAATACAATTTATAGAATTCAACAGGTACAGGACACATTAATATTAGGTATATATTTGAATGGGGAATATCATACCGAACAAATCAAGGTCATACATGACTATGTTAGCACATACGAAAAGAGAGAAAGCAGTCTTCTCCCTCCTGGGTGACAAGGTACGCTGTATTTGGTATCGCTGGATTCGAAATATAATTCTGAATAATATTCTGCAATTTTCTAGAATACCACTTGCACCAATTGGAAGTTATTAATATTAATGTAAAACAGTATTTGTGAATTGGTCGTAAACCTGGTGGCCTCCCATCACCCATCCCTTAAACGGGATTATTAGTCTCTGTCCACCCCCCTTGATATCACAAAAAAGGGACTGACCGGATATAGCAAACAAGCTCTCATTTTACCATCAACAAAGGAACATCTAAACGGACTTGAGAGCCATGGCAACATTTTTGCTCGGACAATTGGACTGTGCTAAAACCAGCTCTTTGCAAGTATTCTGCCTTCTTAACTCCTTTCTTTTATTTCTCTGTTGCTTTATTGTTCTCTTTATTTGTTTGTAACATTCCTTTCTGTAAATAATTTATTGCAACATTTGACCTTTTCATTAATAAACCCTATTTTGAAAAGTGTTAAAATTATCTCTCAAGTCTTTTAATGTAAACTAAAGAATCCCTGTCTCTTGAAGAGTGCTACTGTATATAATAATCCTCTGAATATACCTGTCTGTGGTGACAGTGTGTGTTATAGACGTTTAGTGTTTATTTGTTTTTGTGAACATTGTGAAGAGTTGATAGTCCCAAAAACTATCTGGTGGCAGTTTGGAGTTTGATGGGTTAATTGCGCAATTAAGCTAACCCAGTGACAATCACTCTTAGGCTGCTGGCACCTAGATTGTGGTTCCAGGAGCTGGAAAATCTTTGTGCAGGGTGCAGCTGAGAGTGGCATTGTTACCCAGTGACAGCAGGATGTGAGATTGGCTGGTCCTTTGTCATGAGTTGGTGAGAAGGGCAGGGGTTGGGCACCACGTTAGTCACAGTATCAACATTTGCTCACTGTTTTTTGCCTCCTAAATAGTACATTCCTAACTGGCCAGTAAGGTTGAAAATCATAACAATAGGATCACAGGATTGTGTGGGGACTGGATTTAGTAGTAAGACTTAAAATAATTCTAAAGGCTAAAGATAAAAACCTCCTGTGTGCAGCCCCTACCCCCCCCCCCCCAACTTACCTGAGCCCAAATCCAGCAATGTTCATGAGAGCTCTCCCAACTCTCTTCCTGTCAGTTGGCTCAGACACAGCAATGGGAGCCACTGAAAAAGGAAATGATGTGGCGCTGCTACCTATGAATAACCCTAAACCTGTAAAAAATACACTCATAAGCACTTGTAAATATCCACAATAAAACAAATATAATGAATACACACATAAAGTGATATTATAGTGCATGTGATAAATGCCAACTATATAAGTGAAAAAAGGAACATGCATAAGCTGATAATGATGCCTAAACGCAGTGTATGTGCATAGAAAACAAACCACACAACACTCACACCAATCTGGACTGAATGTCCAATTTTCACGTGATCGTGAGTAATCCAATGATAGGACTACTATAGGTGCTCCAAATTTCTCAAAAAAATATACCCCACATAAAGTATCAAAATGCATGTACATGTAACATATATACAAAATTAATCAACCCACTAAATCGATATGTGAAAAAACAAATCACATTTCGTGCAAATACTCAATAAAACAATGAAAAACACAAATTAATATATCTACATGCATATAGTGCAAAAAATATATCTCAAGCCGTGCAGAACATACATATATATAGCACACCCTAATATAACAAAAATTGTCCAAGATGGGTGCAATACACATAAATCTGAAATCTTGTGAACTTGAGTGATCTGTGCAGATGGTGACAAGAGGGCATCCACTAATGGAAATAATGCGCACTCACCTCCCCGCGTCGACCCGTAAAGGGTCACAACGCTATTAGGATCTCTATCACTGGATCCTTCATTTGTAAAGCACCTCCACAACCACGTCACTTTCTCCTGGATGACATCCCTCTTTCAGACTGGTATATGTAATGGCGGACCTCTTTCCCGTGGTGTAGTAAGTATGGCCAGTAACTCTCATAGAATATAAGCAGAAGCTCCAAATAGTGTAATACTGCTTTTATCAATAAATGTAGGTAACAGTAAGATATGCACTCACATAATCCTTCTTCTTGTGAACAGCATAAACAGATATTTCCCTTCACAATGGGTGTA